ATTCCAGATTTTTTTTTTTTTTCTCGTAAGGTTTTAAATTATACCTTCAAGTTTACAAATTCAATCTTCCTTTTTTCTTTTTTTTGACAGAGTCTCACTTTGGCACCCTGAGTAAAGTGCCATAGTGTCATAGCTCACAGCAACCTCAAGCTCTTAGACTTAAGTAATCCTCTTGCCTCAGTTTTCCTTTTTATTTTTTATTTTAGCAGAGACTGGGTCTTGCTGTTGATCAGTCTGGTCTTAAACTCCTGAGCTCAAGCAATCCACCTGCCTTGGCCTCCCAGAGTGCTAGGATTATAAACATGAGCTACCACAACTGGTCTAAATTAAATTTCTTAAACAGATACAGAGCTATTTTGACTTTTTGTTTCTTCTTGAGTTACTTTTGGTAAATTGTGCTTTTCAAAGAATTTGCCCATTTTGTTATAAATTACTGGCACAAAAATTTTACAGTATCTTCTTATTTTAATGTGCGAAGATTCAAATGACCTAGCTGGGCTTAAGCTGACTGCATTGCTATCTGCTTTTCATTTTGCCCATATTTTTTTGTGCCCATACTCCTCTATTTCCTGCCTTCTTTTGCATTAACAAGGGGTATTTTTATTATTCCACTTTTACACTATTAAAATTTTAACTTTCTATATTTTTAAAATAAAAAGGCATACTAGACTTGTTATGGCCCAAATAGGAGTATGGGCACCAAAAAAAAAAAAAAAAAAAAAAAAAAAAAAATGGGAATGAAAAGCAGATAGCAATGAAGTCAGCTTAAGCCTAAGCCTAGTTAGATCATTCAGTACATTAAATGCAAGTGAACTAAACACGACAATTAAAACTCAAAGATTGAGTCTTCACAACTCAAATTGATTTTTTTACCACTTATAGAACAACGGAGAAACCTTTCAACAGTTTAATGCCACTTACACCCTCCTTCTTTTTGTGCTATTATTCTAATATATTTTATTTTTATATTTATGTTAAAACATAATAGTTATTATTGTGACTTTAATAAGTCAGTATTTACCCACATATTTACATTTCTGTATGCTTTATTCTTTTCTGAATTTCATACTTGAGTCTGTAATTATTTTCCTTTTATCTGAAGGACTTCCTTTAATACTATCTTAAGCTAGACGTGGTGGCTCAGGCCTTTAATTCTAGCACTCTTGGAGGCCAATGTGGGTGGATTGCCTGAGCTTAGGAATTCAAGACCAGCCTGAGCAAGAAAAGACCCTGTCTCTAGTATAATTAGAAAAACTAGCTGGGTATCATGGTGGGCACCTGTAGTCCTAGCTATCAGGAGGCTGACACAGGGGGATTGCTTTGAGTTTGAGGTTGCTGTGAGGTATGATGACACCATGGCACTCTACCAAGGTGACAGAGTAAGACTCTGTCTCAAAAAAATAAAACAGTTTTTGCAGGTAAGTTTCTCTCATCTAACAAATTCTCTAAAAAAAACCCAAACTATTTTTGGCAGGGGGCGGGGGTCCTGAAAACATCTTTACCTTTTCCTTATTTTTTAAAGGATACTGTAAGAATGATTGGTGAAATAACAGAAAAGTTACTAACTCATAATTTTTCTCTAAGGACTAAGTCAGTCTCTCTGCCTGCTTTCTTTCTCTAGCTAGTAGCCCCTTCTCCTACCCTGTGGATTTGTTTTCACAAACCATTGAGGAGCCCAGCAGACAAGAAAGGAAATGTAAATTCTTCTTTACATTTCACCAGTTCCTTTGCCTTTTAGTATTTGTTTCCATAGCCTCAAGTGATTCCTGAGCGTCCAGGACTAACAATGAATATGAAAGTCAGGCAGGCCTCAGGATTAGAAACACCTGAAACAATGTCTGTCTTCAACAGAGGAAAAACAGTCACAGCTTTCACGCTCACAGTATCTTGTGAATTTTGGCTGCATTTACCTTTTTTCATCCCCCCCTGAAATTCAGCAAGTGCTTGACTTCAACTGTGTGCATTCCTCCTTTTCTTTCTTTTGGGATGCCCTGCCATCTCCCTGCTCTTTTCTCTCTTCCCCTTCTTACCCCTTTTCTGTCTCACTCCCTCTCTCTTTCTAAGATAAAATAAAGTCTATACTTTTGTATCTTAATCTTGAGATTCTTCCGAGAGATTTCCTCTTCTTGCATGCAGAGCACCTAGTGAACTTTCTGACCCTATCACTGGATTTTAAATTGTAGATTTTTTTTTTTTAACTTTTAGGACTTAAAAATGTAGTTCAATTGTCTTTTGTTTCCCAGTTTCCATTGGAAAGTCAGGTATAATTCTGTTTTAAAATCAGATACATTTTCCTTTTTGCATATAATGTACAGTTTTTCTCTTACTACTTTTTAAGAATTTATCTTTATTTGACCTTCAGGTGTTTGAAGAATAGTTTCCACGGGGTGGTTTTCTTTCTGCTTATCTATTTTGAAGTTTGTTGAGTCTTGAATCTGTGAGCTCATTCATCAATTTTGTAATTTTGTAAATATCTTTATCCCTATCTCTTTAAATATTTCTGGATTCTTTATAGGTCTCATAACATTTTATTTATGTTGGATATTGTATATAAGGGAAATCAAAGAAACTAAAATCATTATTATTTTCAACAGAAGACAATTTGTTCTTTCCTATGTTAGGCCAATAAAATGTAGACAAATCAGTCCCATCAGGAATTGAGCTAGATCAGTGCTCAGTGGCACCATTAATTAGGCACAGTCTTATTCTAGTTTCAGATGTCACAAGGACAAAAAACTCCTGAGGTACTTTTGTGGTCAGGCCCTTATTCCAGTGGGACTTTGTTTCCTAAGGATCTACTCCCAATAAGTGGAATATTACTGTTCACAGCATCAGGGGACATTAATATTACTGATTTTAAAAACAGATCTTGTTTAAAAAAGGAAAAGAAAATCTAACTATGGTTATATAAAAGACTAAGTCATTTTTATCAATTTTTATTCATTTCTGCACATATTATCTCCTATGTATACCAATCATTTTATATCTCAGCAATTACTATATGTTACATTTGATTATATTACTTACCCTATGCAAAGACTTCACAATTTGTTCTTTGCCTAGCAGCTTATGTGCTTTAGCTTTAAAAAACAAAGAACACTGCTCCTCACTTCCCTAATGGGTAGGCTCACAGACCACAGTATAATGATACCTTCCATTTTATTCACCCATTGAATAGTTAAGTGTGAAATTTAAAGAAAAAGTATGTTTCATCTATTGAAGTATGTACACTGATTGTTAATGACATCACTCTTATAAAAGTGTTTTATATTAAGACATGCCTATTCAGCTACTTTATATAATTAATGGAAAGAATGTACCAGACTGAGCAATAGTGAGAGCCCAGCTCTACTAAAAATGGAAAAAAAACAGTTGGGTGCTGTGGCAGGCACCTGGAGTCCCTGCTACTTGGGAGGCTGTGACAAGAGGATCACTTCAGCACAAGAGTTTGAGGTTGCTGTGAGCTATGGATGACACCATGGCACTCTACCTAGGGCAAAAGAGTGGTGAGACTCTGTCTCAAAAAAAAAAAAAGAAAAAATGTAATCCTATACATAAAATTGATTAACAAAAGAAAATATAGAAATAATATCTACCATCAAGATAGCCTATTTTTAAAAAAATAAAGATCCCCAAAAGTAATAGGGTATTTTAAAATCAGACAGGCTTTTAACTGGGTGAGGTGGCTCATGCCTGTTATCCTAAAACTTGGGAGGCTGAGGCAAGTAGATTGCCTGAGCTCACAGGTTCAAGACCAGCCTGAGCCAGAACAAGACTCCCACCTCTAAAAATAACCAGGCCTGGCTCGGCGCCTATAGGTCAACCGGCTAAGGCGCCAGCCACGTACACCTAAGGTGGCGGGTTCGAATCCCCAG